CTTAAACATCAAAGCTTATTTCCAACTGGGCATTAAAATCAGTTTAAGCCATAACAGATCCTGCCTGATGTGGGGCATCATCTTCACCATTTTTTGTACCTTATTGGACTTCTTTCCATTTCTTCTTCTGTAATTTATGAAAAAATATGATATGAAATATATGCATTTGAATTTACTCCTTATCTTTTACAGACTCAAAAGATAAAAGTGCAATTATATAACTAGCTGATTGTCTTTTCTTGCTACTGATATGCTGTTGTAAGCAAGTATTTTTTTAATCATGTACTCACAGCATTTTAGAAACCTGTTGACTTTACTGTACTACTTCAGAATGTTTTCTGCATTTTGCCTTACTATTTTTACCCTTGTTTGATGATTTAGTTACATTTGTTCATATTTTCTTTGCTTTTGGTCATGGCTCTCAAACATTTTTGCTCAAACTGCAGATATATTTCCAGAAAACTGAAGGACACCAACATCTTCTGTATATTCACACAGTTCTTATTTCTTAGCCTTTAGTGTACTACATAGAGTGCAGTACACAGTTTGTGAACAAGTGGGAATTATGTCATCACATATCATCGTACTTAAGATCTTAAAAACAGCTATATTATCAAGACAGAAGGCAGAGACCTACTGTGTGCACCATCAGTAATAAGAAGGGCAGAAAGAAGTTGACTTTCAGAACTAACCAGTGTTCACAGTCTTGCCTAAACAGTTTAATCAATGAGGAATATTATGACAAATAAACAAACAAAAAAAAAAAAACAAAACCCTGCAGTTCCTGCAGTTCCATCCAGTAACTGCCATGAGGATAAAAACTGTTTACAAAGGAGTACGTGTAAATACTAAATGTATTTCTAATTTATGGTACAGAAGTCACCATCTTCACAGATGGATAAACGTGTTAATGGCAAAATGATATAAATCATACAAGACCACAGAGGCCACTATTTCCCACCTTATCAGAATATTTTCATCTCTCTCCAAAACTTTAATTGCCAGTGTTTATCCTCAGCTGCTCACTGATGCTTTTTAAAATCCATTTTATGACAATCAGTAAACACTTTTTAAAATTTAATGGAGATCTCAGAGTAGGTCAGCTGGCTTTTGGCTGACCCTGACATGACTGACAACTGGCAGCGTATGTTATGTTTCTAGATCTAGCAGGAAGAGAAAGTGATCATTTAATTTCCATCATGATTTGTGGGGCCCAGATATTTTTGGACGTTCCATTGTAAGATATTGTCAATTTGATGGGGATTTAATTTATTTATTTATTTATTTATTTATTTATTTCCCAGATTTATTAAGGCTATAATGTAATATGACTGTCTTTTAGGATATACTGATTTGATGGGGGTAAGTTTACCTATTATATTTATTGAATTGCTCCACCAGCTTGTCTATACTTCCGTTTATCCTTTTGGTAGGAAGCTTTTTATTTTTTATTTTTTATTTTTTTGACTCATTATAATAACCATTGTAAAAATAATTGTTAGTTACTCATGTCTACAAATACAATTATTGTCTCCAAGTATTAATAATTGCTTTATCATTATGCAGCTGAAATCCGTCTTTACATCTTTTCCTCAACTTGCTAATCATGCTAATATTGTTAATTTGAGTAATGCAGCAGTGTTTAGTGATCTCTGCAAGTTTCAAGGTTTATTTCTGGTAGGACTTTTCTAAAATCAGAGTAAGAGCCGTCCATACACCAGAAAACGTAAACCAATGCTAATAGTACATCTGGTGGAGGATGTCATGATTGAAGTCTCAAGCTAGTGAAAGTACCATCTTAATTTTTACTGTTTAAAAAGAGTGTGACCAGTTACCTCTTTGCCCATTATATACCAGTAGTTTTCCATGAACATTGCAGCGCATGAGTACTGAACAGGAATCTTCCTTACTGCACAACAGTAACTGCATTGACTCTTTCTGTGAGGATGTCTCATGTAGGAAGTTCAGTGGAAATTTATATCTGAGCAGTGAAACCCAAATGGACACTGGATGATAAAGCTTGTGTAGACATACATAAGATAAAACCTTAAAAAGCAGTAGAGAATTTATATTGATCACCAGAAATAAGGAATTGTGACTGGGGCAGAATGATAAATCAGGTCTTAGTAACATGATTTTCACTGACTGAAATCATTTAATGTGAGGAAGTTTCCAGATAGAAAAGATTAAAGGATTTAGATTGGGCAGATAAGAAACATCAAATACACAACAATGCAAGAGGAAGAAGAGATAGGAAGATAGAAAGAGAAATGGAAGAAAATTTTTAGGTTTGGGAAAGGTAAACCCACAAAATGTGAGGAGTGAAGTAATTACTGCTTTGAGAAGATGTGATCAGTTTAACGGTAACAAAGTAGAGCCTATCTGCTATGGTATCTACCTAGTTTAGAAATGAAAACTACAGTGTTGGTAAGATCATAAGATAATTCAAGTAGAAGGTGACCTCAGGAGGCCCTAGTCCAACCTCCACATCCAAGCAGGGTCAGTTAGACTTCATGTTATTATTTTAATAATTCATATAGTAATTATTAACAATTGATAATATAACCTGCTGTCAGAAGATGAGGCTTAGTACTACTCTTATAGGAAAGAAGTTAGTTTCCAGTATCACAGTCCAGCAAATCTACACTATGATGTATGTGGTACTCGTCTGAAAGCCCTTGCATGTAATAATTAGCAGACATTACTCTGACCTTCTCTTTATCAAATTTTCTTGTATCAACAATCCAGGATACAACAAAAAGCTTTTTTAAGCTGAGCTGGATTTTTGTGTGTCAAGGTGTGCAGAGTAGTTGACCTCCAGGAGAATCACCAAAGCGTCAGAGTCTGACGTTTTATCTGTCGGGTTCATCGGTTGTACAGGAACTAGGAAAAGGCATGCCATATCCCCATCTCTGTCTTCTTTCTGTATCTACTCAATGTCTATATTACCTGAAGCATATTAGACTGAATACTAAAGAAGTGATAGAGAGCTGAACGTCTGAGATAGCTGAAGGAATTAATGAGGCATACTGGCCAAAGCAAGACAGTTGTATGGATGGCAGAGTTCAAGGAAACAAGAGGGTAGTGTTTGTCATTATGTCAGTCTTCAGACAGTTACAACCTATCATCAAGTATTTTTGTGTATATTGTGGAGTGCGGGAAATTCTGTAAACAGAATTTTTCAAGGATAAAATGGTATCTTTGTAGCACATGGAAAACAACAGGGTGAGAAGAAGCTATGTTTTACTGATCACACAGAAAAAACATCTCTGCAAGGGACACATTCTTTTTCATAACTGAAGCTTAGATTCAGTTTCTGGGCTGAGCTGCGTCACGTCAAACATAGGTGATTTCAGTAACTCTTTGCCACCCACTGTAGCAGATCTGGCACATTATAAAGATAGCACTTTACAACTCCACAGAATGTTGTCCATTTATAACACATCTGTTTCAGTCTGGTGGAAATCTTTTCATTGGATGACTTTTTGGACGTTACTTGAGTAGTTTGAATTGTGGTAATCTGTTTTGCACATCTTAGAGGGTATTTCTGTAGTTCTTTCTTCTAATAACTAAATCATTTTTATAACATCAGTTATCATAAAGTTTTGGTAAAATCCTTCCATATTTTTTTTTTTGAAAACCATCGTTGCCCAATGTCTGTCTGTCCTGCTGGACTATTGTGCAAACTATAGTAGAGTGAATAAAAACAGGGTGACTGCAGCACCATATTAATACTTGAGGAAACAAAATGCTTACCAACTCTTTAAGGTAACCTTGCTACAGAATGTCATTGTTTCTTCTAGAAGTGACATTGAAATAGATCTTCAAAAGCCTCCATTACAACTTAATTCTCTTTATCATTAGAACTGCAGCCATCAGCTCTACATCAGAGCCTGATTGATGATGATTTTAAAAGTGTCAGCACATTGGCATGTAGATTCTCTGTGTGACTGGGAATATACTCATAAGTTGATAGTTTTGGCTAGTCAAAGAGGGAAAAGTGTAACAGCAACTCATGGCATTTTCAAAACTAATTTGTTCTTGCACATATAACCTACTAGTGTGGGAGGGGCTCTTTTAGTTAAACTTCTGTAATGAGATCTTGAGCCTTGTTTACAATAACTACATTTAAGGAGGTAATTCTGAAGTGTTGTGACACTAAAAAAATTCTGTTTATATACATCATATCTTTGTTAGAGTATTCTAGCAGAGTTATTAAAGTGTTTTCTGGCCTTAGTCGAACTTCAGAATACTTTGTACATTTTTCTTCATTGCTACATATCTCATTTTCCCCACATTCAAAGCAGAAGCTTCAGTAGCTAAGGAACCACAAGGTTCAGTTCCTCACTGCATGTCAGATGGATTTGATGACAGTCAGCATAGTATAGCACATTCAAAAATCATGTGAAAATTTAAAATTGTACAGCTTTTGGCTGAAAGAGATCCACTGACAGGATGGAGACTGTCCTTGCTATACAGCACTGATATTCTATGACTAAATTATGTATTTAAGTATAAAATGGATAGAATGCAAAAGGTATCTAAATGATTGATTAACTCTTCTAAAATGAAAATGAGTTTTTCTTTTAACTAATGACTGAAAATCTCTTAAACCAAAAATGATTCACTTAAAATGTCATGCTATATAAATTCCAACAATAAATTTAATCGCAGATTAAATTTGAAATTGAAAGTCCACGTGCTTTTCTGCTGCTAATGAAAAGAATCTACTTTTTATATGAACAGTTATAAATGCCAATGAACTTTTGCTTCTTTTGCTGTTTGGCAGGGTAACTAATTTTCTTTGACATGTTTCATTTCTGGGCTTTGTATGGGAAGTGTTGAGTCGCAACCTGAACCGCAGATTGATCACCTGAGACAAGGACTGAGTCAGCCATGGGAGCACAGGTGAAGGCAATTCAGAAGAGGTGGAGCCTGGCTGCACCTTTCCTAGACCCCATTTAAGGGCTGACCCCTAGTAGGGCAGGATCTTTTCCTGGAGATCTCTCCTTTTGGAGTTTTTGACTGTAAGCCTAGGACGGGGGTGAGCATTTCATTTTTGTTACACTTTTTCCACCACAGTAGTCTTTCTAACCATAAGCCTGTGTACGTTTGTTAATTGTACAGAGGTTAACTATTTTGTGCTAGTGGGAATGCAGAAATATATGCAGTATCTTTTATCCGTGCAGTTTGGGATGGGAGAAGGCTCAGTTGCTCAACTGGAATAGTATCAATTGACTAAATGTATGAAGTCTGAGTTATGAAAACGTTTTTTTTTTTCTTGATGCTTGGAAGATGGCTGTAGCATATTTTTCACCACTGAAGCGTATTTGAGATGTGAGAAACATTAACAATGAGGAGAGCTTTAGGTCAGGATCACTCTGCATCATAGATGGCATTATCTTCTGATTTAGCTGGGCTGAAAACTGCTGGAAAATAATCCTTTTTGTGCCCTTGTCAGTGGCTTTGGCCTAGAGTAATAGCAAATCAGCTTTACCTGAGTCAGATAATCATTACAAAATGAATTTTTTTCTGAACTCTCAGAAGTCATTGAGAGGAAAATAAATTTGATAGGCATGATGAATATTATTTTAAGTTAAAGCTTATACAAAATACTAAATGCTGCTGATAATTGAGCAACTCTGTGCAACTGTAAATTAGCTGCTCAACTTGAAAGGAAAAAGAGGAAAAAAAAAAAAAAAAAAGGTGATTACTGAAAGCACTTTTTCCCCTTAGAAAACTTGCTGCTCTCTTCTTCCTTAGCATTCAGAAGGGGCATTCAGTTAATCATACTGAGGTCTCTCCCTTAGCGCTGCAGTAGCTGATTACCCAGCAGGAGGTGCAGTTCCAGCAGGGTAAGTCAGAATGGTGTTGGTCGTTCCCTGGGGAGGGACATCCTGTAAAAACACCAAGGTTGAGAACTGTCATATTCACAGCAGTAGGTGCATTTTCCTCAGAAATTAATGGAGCGAGCTGGGCAAAAATGTTTTTAAACTACATCTTCCCTAGAGTAAGATGCAAATTCAAAGATCTTTTGAAGCACTGGAATGAAAGTTGAAGATAAGACTTTTTAGTTTTTGACATTGATGATATAGGCAACACTTGCACTGCGAATATTCAATTGAAATGGAGGATAAGTGGGGCAGATGTTATTCAAGCAGGTCCCAAATACAGTCCTAACTATTTCAGAGCTGGCTTAACTAAGCTGCTTTTAATTATGCTTACTGCAAAATTCTTAATAGAGATTTCCTTCCTTCAGATTGTTATGAATTGATTAGCAGTGCTAGATGCTTTTCTTAAAACAAGGATTTAAAGGAATCTTGTCATCAAGACTCTCAATCAACAAAAGATGGTTTAAAAAGGAATGAAGCTTTCAGAAACAGTTGTTTTTTTGTTTTTTTTGTTTTTTTTTTTCTTTTTCAGTGGCAGTTCATTTGCTGCTCAGCAGCAAGCAAGGATTTTGGGCTGCTTTCTCTATTGTTGACAATGGAACACAAAATGGTCTGTTTACAGAAAGATTTTACAGGAATTTTTTCAAGCACCTTTCAGTATCATGTTTATTCTGTCCTCTTGAACAAAGGCATGAGAAGAGCCTGATTTTAATTCATGATTTATGCTGATTCCTTGCTTCTAGAGCAAGATTAATCATCTAGGATTGACTCAGATTATGTAAGACCTGAATGACCCCTATCTTGAGTTCCCTCTAGCACTTGTTTTCAGCTTGTGTGGGTTTCCCCACTTTGCTTTGCTCCATCCTGGTGTCACGTTTTTGCCCTTCTAGTTTGATTTCTGTGTAAGCTCTTACACTGTGTCTTTTACTACAGGATTTTAAGAACATGAATGGCCAGATTTGAAGTCTGCCTTGCTTGATGTACTGCCTCTGTCTGCTCTGAACAAGAGACCTAAATAGGAGTTGGAAAAAAAAAAAAAAATCTTCCTAATTTTTTGTTAGCCTTCAGAAGTATCTAGCTTAAGGGCATCCAGAAGTGAAACTGTGTCACTATATCCTATGAAGTGTACACAGTCAGTTTTCATTTCTTCTTCAACCCAAAGGCCCCAGTAACATTGAGAATTCACTTCCTAAACGAAAATTTCAAATGTCACTGAAAGTGTGTGGAGACAAAGATTAGCAGAACTCGATTGTAATTTATGCAGATTTTTGTTGCCTCCATCCACTAATTGTTAAGTCAATACTATTACAAAACTGAATCTATAGTTGAGTCAATGACCTTTAAAATCATTCTAGCATAATCTATAGATCACTCATTTTCATCAAATATTACTCACAATTTCACTTGTTTCCATTTTTGTAGGAGTATTTCCACTTGTCTGTTTAATGCATATATGTATCTGATGAGCTGTAAAACATACCTTTACTGTAAGGTATACTTTTAAATTGCTTGCTTCTTTTTGTGTGTTGATATCTGTAATAAAACATGTCACATTGGTAGAAATCTGTGTTGAATCTGAGATGGCAAATGTGAAAGGTGACATCAATTAGGAGTTTTGTGTCCCCAAACAATACATAAATAGTGGTATCATAGCTTTAGAAGTCAAGTGACAAGGCCTTCATTGTTTTTTGATAGCACCCAGTTGTTCATGAACATATGGGAAGGCTTGTTCATAAAAATTTCTTTTCCTTGTCATCTTAATTCTACCAGATTGTAAATTATGCAGCTAGAACAAGTTAGAGTTAACTCTCTATTTCCAGACACTCTGAGATGATGTTGTTGTTGTTATTCTGTGGAGGCATTAATCTAGGAGGTTTCTAGGACATTTCTTCAGACATTCACATTTCTTCATGACTTCAGACATTTTTGTAAGTAAATTCATTGTATACTTCCAGCAACATCCTAAGGATAAGTATACTTTAAAATGCAGAGTGAATTAACATGTGACTGATATGTTGAAACAAAGAAATGGTAGTAGGTGAGAAATCTCAAGTACCTAAATGTCCAACTTGCATAAAGATACAAGCCCAAATCAGAACTCTGGATAGAAAACTGTCTGGGCTCTGACTTGCTATATTTTGCAATGCAAACCTGACCCAAAATTTGTATTCAGTGTTCATTTCTTTTAACGGTTTTCAATTATTCTGATTTCAATTGTGCATTAAATTGTGTTAAAATCTTCACGTATTACATGTGCACATCTACACAGATCCTGATGGTAGAGGAATACACCCTCCCCAGCACCAACGCCCTTTACTGTATTGCAGTGTTTAAATTTAGGTATTTGAGGCTCCCACTAGACAACAAGTTATTAAAACATCTGCCTTCCAATAAGGCATTCTGTTCTTTGCCATTCCACATGTCCTTTTCTACTTCACCAGGCAAAATTGCCCAATCTAAATTTCAGCTCAAGTGTTTGATGGCTTTCACGCTGAGCTCAAACTGTTAGTGCTTCCCTGAGAGAATAGAATTGAAGCGAGATTTAATCTAAAATAACAAAATAGAATAAAAGTTTTACATATAAATAAGTAATGCCCTGTATATTTTTATGCACACTTCTCTTTTCTAGATTTTGCATGTAGTGAAGTTAAATCTTTAAAATGCATAGATAACCTGAAGCTGACAGAAAAGAGCATCAGTTGCCTGTGTTCTCAATTAATGCCTATCCTAAAGTACATTATAATTCAGATTTATAGTTACTGTAAAATGCATCGAAGAAAATAGTATTTCTTTTGCTACCTTGTCTCAGACTGCTGGGTGCTTGTTTGCTTTTTTTAAGGTGGTGCTATTATCAAATAGCTTTCCAAAGCCATTACAAGTCTTTCGGTATTTTCAGTAACGATTGTTGGGGTTTTTTTTTGTGTGCTTTCTCTTCATGGAAGATTCCAATTTTGAGCTAGTTTTGGTGTTTTTTGTTTGTTTTCATAAAATGTAATCAATTCACTTTGTAATAGTAAAACAATGGGCTAGCTGTTAGCAATAGGTATTTCAGTATTTTATTCTTGAATACTAAAAAAAAATCTGGACTCCTGCTCTCAAAAAAAAAAAAAAAAAGGGATTGATTATCTCTAACTAAAATCATGCGCATGGTAAATGAAACAAACCTTAGTCTAACTTGTCATCTATCCATTTTTTTCCACATCTAGATGAATTACCTTTAATCATACCTTCTCATATAACAGGTTTGTTTTATTACCCTTGCAGCAAAAAAGGTTTACTAGGCTTACTATGTACTGGCATTAGTAGAAGCAGAACTAACAGGTTAAATAGGGTGATCATTCATCTTTATTCATTTCTTGTAAGGCTGGAGTAGTGTCCAGTGCTTTTACCCCCTCTCTTCCCTCCTCCTAACCCCCTCTGCAAAAGAGACTAACAGAGTTAGTATGATGTACAATTGGAAACAGGAAATCAGGTTTTTCAGCTTGTGGAAGAGAAGGTTTTAACTGCTGTTCTCCACCATCTCGTGATGAAATGCTTTCAGTTACCAGTTCCCCTTTTTTAATTATGTGCTTCCCTTCTATACAGTATGAACTGTTTCTCTTCATGGTATTTGCACTGTATACACAATACTAATTCTACTATTTGACACTTGTATATCATGGGTACTCATACCATAATATGAAGGCAAGGCAAACATCATACATTCTATTAAGCAGTTATTTTGCTATAATGGGTATAATTTTAGGAGAGCAAATGTTTGCCTGTCCTCTGTGTGGCATGATGACTGTGCCTGTAGAAGCCCAAACCATTGCTTGCCAAACTCTGTAAGTTTGTATGTTCTCCATATCACTTGGACAAAAATGAGCTGAAATTTGTGTGCAGAAAAGCCAGTCTTCCATTACTGATGTGAACACTGGAGTTCCTAACAGCTATGACTTCAGGGAGAATAACAAAAATAAATTTTTAAAATTAACTTTGTTGTTCCTAGAATCATAGAATCACCAAGGTTGGGAAAAACCCATAGGGTCACCTAGTCCAACGATCACCAATCACCAATAGCTCTCACTAAACCATGTCCCTCAACACAATGTCCAAACGTTCCTTGAATACCTCCAGGGCCAGTGACTTTACCACCCCCCCAGGCAGACCCATCATGAATTCTTCGCCATGCAGAGTGGCAGAGCAGGTTTTCAAGAAGCTGAGTTGTGAACAAGCTGCTCTTGAACTGCCATGAAATTTTAAACTGTGTAAGATTAGAATCCAAACTCTAGCTAAAATTTACTGTCTAAAAGGAGCCTCCCATTTCCCCAGCAGACTGTTTTGGTTTTTTTTTAAAAATCTTTTATGATTATGATCTCAGATCCGTTGTCAATGTATGAACCTATAGCATTACCTGTTAGCTAATTATTCTCAAGATCAGTCTGCTTAAACATACATTTTTATTTTTTTTTAATGGAAAACAAATTACATGAATCAACTTTTCTCAACAGATAACTGTGCCGTAGAATTTTCTGCAGTTTCATAATTTCCTACCTGCATTTAAACTCCATAACTGGAAATGAGTAATATCCAGGCTTTTCAATCTATCACTTCTGGGAATCCGAACAGGTAGCCATTTATTTCATCAGTCATTAGTACTTGTCAAGCAAAGTTCTGTTAAGATAGATAGTTCTCCCGGATGTAAGGATTAAGCATGGCATACTTTACAGCCAGGAATCCAGAGAACCAGAATCTCAACAGGGAGTATCTTCTCCCACCCTTATCAAGTGTACAACATGAAGGTGGAAGACCCTTAACGAAAGGACTGTTCTTGTGATGCTTGAAGGACAATTACAAAGCAATTCCATCTCCGCTCTACCCATTTCCTACATTTAGTAACAGACTGTACAGGCCAGAAGTGGTATAAACATACCACACTTTCTAATTTGGAAAGGTCCTGCATCTTTTTATTCTTATCTACTTTGTGGCCTTTTGCAGCTTGGCCCATGGATCCTACTTGTGCAAATCTCCACACTTCAGTGAAACATCATTTTCTTTAGTAATTTAACATTCCACAAGGCTTGTTAAGATGAGCACACTCTGAGAATGGTTTGATTTTCCTAATATGAAATGTCTACGTAGGGCAAATGTAGTGAATTACTTACTACCTTTGGCTACCGTGCTTAGCTGTTAAAGCTGAGCTGAAGTATTACTATCTTTCTTGGTGACATGAAGTCATTAAAACACTTCTGTGGAGTTGGAGATATAATTTTAACATTTACAGGAGATACAAGTTTTAGAAAGTATGGTGCTGTCAGCTTATACATTATCAGACACGCAGCATGTGCTTGCAAACTGCACTAGCAGTCTTTAACTTTGTGAGCCATACACAGACAGAAGTCCTCATAAAATGTACTCTGAAAAAGGAAGCAAATCCGTAACCGTAATAACAAATCATAACTTTATTTCTCATAAACATGAGAATAATGGACGTTATTTACCCCTTCATTCTTTTCTAGTGTCGATTTTACATTCCTCAGCTATAAAGCACAAAAAAAAAACAAAACAAAACTGTGATCTATCTCATGTCTGAGCCTTCGTGACAATACAAAGTGTATAGTATTTTTTTTAACTCAACTTCTATTAATCTGCTGTCTGTTTTCCTTTCTTGGGTAGCTAAATTGGTGAGGATCAAAATGTAAAAAAAAAATAAGTTGTTTTGATTAACCTTTAAAGAATGTGTTAGGGATACAAACTTTATTTTTGGTGCAGTACCTTGAAATAATATGAGCAGGTGAGTAAAAAGCTTATAATAATTGTATGTGTGAATATCAACACAGGCATTTTCTGTCTTTTCCCATTCCTATGTAACCTAGAATATTGCCCAATTTTATTAATACCCTGTGGATACACTGCTTTTGTGAAGCTGAATAAAAGTCCATAAACTTCCAATTATTTTCAGTTTTGCACTTGTTTGATTACAGTGCTATTGTCTGTAATTTTTACATTTTTTTTGCATCTTCAAAGCAGACAATTCATGCCTTGAAAACGAGTTGTTTTGTGTTTCCTAGCTCTGTTTTTGTGTTTTTTTTTTTTTTTTTTTTTTTATCCCTGCCAGTTATAACCTGATAACCTGATTTCATACTGTGCTTTAGCACAACAATGCAGTCATCAAACTAAAGCAACACAGTAAGTGGGCACATTAGCCATCATTTTACTTGATCACTTGGGAGAGATAAAATTTATTCATTTTCAGAACAGATAATGAAATATTTAAAACATTTTAGAGTAAATCATGGCAGCATTCCGAAGTT